CCCTTTCGCGCTTTGGTGGTGCGTCGCCCAATCGCCCTAATGGAGAAACCGCCCCTGTATATGCTCAATCCTTTCTGTATAGAGTGCAGCAGTGCACTTTTTTTAATGGCCTTGGTTTTCAAAGTGTTTTTTTTTTTTATATATATTTTGAGAATTGTTAAAAACGCGTGCATGGATGAACCATTTTCAGTCGTGACTCTTCAAGCTCAAACTCCTTTGTCTCCTTTACAGTGAGCGTCACGTCTCTTGCTCGGCGGCTGAGCACCTTCTTTCTCAATGACATCAAGTCTGGCGACTCTGTTTCTCCCCTTCCTCCGGTCTCCTTTACCAAACACCACCGCCTGCCCAATAGGAATCAGCAAAATGACGCCGGTCCCAGAGATCCTCTGCTTCCTCTGGTAAAATCCCAGAACTCCTCCACCCTCATCGGACACACAGATGCTGTGTCCACCCCTGCGCTGTGCTCTCCTTCAGAGGGCTACGGCTCCATGTGCAGCAGCCCATTTGTGTTGATTGGAGGCACGCTGGTGGAGGTGGATGCTGAGACCTCGCTGGAAGAGGCGGAGGATGCTCTGCTGCTTGGTGCTTCATCATTAAGAAAAGAGCTCAGTTTGAGTCTTCTTGCTTGTCGTGAAGGCATTTACTCCTCTTCTCTGGAGGAACATCCTCTGACGACGACTCCTCCTGCTGAGAGCCAAGCGAATGAAGATCACTCCTACGCACTCTTCTCAGTCCCACCACAATCCACAGAGTCTGAAACTTCCACTCCTGTTGTTGAAGCTGTCGTGACCTCGGAGGCAGATGAGGTCCCGTCCCAGACATCTGAAGAACAGGTTTGTTTTTGGGATTATTGAAAGACTGTCTGTTTGGGTTTCTTTCTAAATTTTTAAAGGAATAGTTCATAATTTATCTGTATATATTCATAGTACACTACCGTTAAAAAGTTTGGGGGCAGTACAATTTATTTTTATTTTTTATTTTTTAAAGACCTTTATATATTCATTCAGAAAGGATACATTAAATTGATCGCAAGTGAAAGCAGAGACATTTGTTTCAAAATATTTCTATAGCAAATAAATGATGTTCTTTTGATGAAGGCATTTACTCCTCTTCTCTGGAGGAACATCCTCTGACGACGACTCCTCCTGCTGAGAGCCAAGCGAATGAAGATCACTCCTACGCACTCTTCTCAGTCCCACCACAATCCACAGAGTCTGAAACTTCCACTCCTGTTGTTGAAGCTGTCGTGACCTCGGAGGCAGATGAGGTCCCGTCCCAGACATCTGAAGAACAGGTTTGTTTTTGGGATTATTGAAAGACTGTCTGTTTGGGTTTCTTTCTAAATTTTTAAAGGAATAGTTCATAATTTCTGTATATATTCATAGTACACTACCGTTAAAAAGTTTGGGGGCAGTACAATTTATTTTTATTTTTTTTATTATTATTTTTTTTTTTTAAAGACCTTTATATATTCATTCAGAAAGGATACATTAAATTGATCGCAAGTGAAAGCAGAGACATTTGTTTCAAAATATTTCTATAGCAAATAAATTGTTCTTTTGAACTTATTTATCAAAGAATCCTGAAAAAAGTGGAATATTTATAGATTGATAATACATTATTAATACATTAATAATATGAAATGTTTCTTGAGCAGCAAATCAGAATATTAGATTGATTTCTGAAGGATCATGTCACACTGAAGACTGCAGTAATAGCTGCTAAAAATTCAGCTTTAAAATATTTTAAATAGAGAACCGTTATTTTAGTCTAGTTATATGCTATATATGTATACATGTTCAAATAAATGCAGGATTGGTGAGCATTAGAGACTACTTTAAAATCAAAAATGACTGAAAATCATTTAATTGCAGTAATTTTATATTTGTGAAAAACATTTTAACATTTTACATTTTTATGCCTTTGATATGCATATAATTTATTTGGTTTAGTTTTTTTAAATACACTGAATAATTATATTCATTTCAAAGTTATTAAATTTATTTACAAATAATAATTTGACATCTTAGTTTGTATTTGTGAAAAATGTATAATTTCATTAAAAAAATATGAAAATAATAAAAAAAAGATGCATTTTAAATTGATAGTTAAATGGATGTTTTTGTTTGTTTTGGGACCAGTGAAAATTTCAGTACAGTTAGGAATCTGAACTATTGGCCTGATTTGGCAAGCAGAAAAATTCCATCCTGTTGAATGCTGTGAGGGACTGACTGATGTGTGTCCTTCCTCCATTAGCTGGATGCTGCTCTTCCAGAGTCGAGCCATGAGCAGCCAGAAGAGAGCAAACCTCCCACACCTCAACCTGCTGTTGCCCCCAGCAAATCCAGCCCAGTGACTGACACCCAGGTTGAAACGGTCCAGTCCGGCATCCGTTGTCTGAAGTTTGACACCCGTAGCCCAAGTCAGGCCATTTTTAAACCCCAGTGGTTGGGTGTGGGCTTCGGGACCACTGGAGTCAGAGCGAGGGGGGTACAGGTGTGTGGAAAAACATCCATGTCCTCACCACTCTCCACCAAAAACACAGCCACAAATGAAAATAACAACATGGTTGTGCGTGCCAAACAGAGACCGAGAGGTGAGTGTGTGTCCATTCACCACACAGCATCAACATTTTTGTACAGCTAAAATAAGTTGTGGCAGATGATGGCAAAACTTGTTGATTTCAGAGTTTATAAATGTCTGCACCTGCTCTTACGTTAAAAGTAATGGATCGAAGACTAACAAAATGATAAATCTGAAGTGTATCCAAGTTATTTTTATTTCATCTTTTATTTTTTCCAAGTATGCACTTTTCTCAGTGGTTATAAACTAGGTTATTTACTTGTTTAATGTTACAGAAAAAGTTCTGATTGGTGAGGGCGGATCGCCTCTGCAGATCCTGAGGGAGGCAAATTCACCCAGAGACCGCAACTCCCAGGTAATCACACAGTTATTAGTCACTGATTATATTTGAATCTCAGTGCTTATTTAGCTATAGAGTGTTATGCAGTCATTTTCATCTGTTGCACCTTCAAACTCTAAATGGATCTTCATGTCTTTCTTCAGATGAAGTTGAAAGTGTCCACCCCAGAAAAACAGAGAATCAGCCAGATGGACAGGAGAGCTCTGATTCTGTCACTTAACAAGGAGAACGAGTGAGACAAACTGAGCAGACCAGGATAAATCCAGCCAACACTATGTATATAATACAGTTTTAAGCCTTAAACTACATGATCATTCTTTTTTTTTCTTTCTTATCTTTACTGTTTCTTTGTGTGTTTTGTAAATAAACACTGTTTTAATGTAAATAAAATTTGCATTTTATTTGAGTTGTTTCTTTTAATCTGAATGTACTGGATGACATTGTTTTTCAGAAAAACCTGAATAGATCTCAGTCTTTGTCATTGATACCAGCTGTTCACAAAGCATGTCTAGTGGTGAAGATATACCACTACTTTCAGCCCTGCAATTATTGAAAAATAGACACTGTCAGCCAATTAGACTTCTTCACTCATGTTTAACTCGGATGACCACATCTTTTTAAAAGCATTGTTACTAATTTATCTGAACTATTTTTAACATCAAAAGAGTTATCCGATATCTGTGCGCTACGGTTCAAAAGTCTGAGGTCTGTAAGATAGATTGAGATGTATAGAGAGACAGTGTGTGTGTGTATATATATATATATCTTGTGCTTGTCAAGGCTGCATTTATTTAATTTAAAAATACAGAAACGGTTGTTTTAAATTGTAATCTATTTTAAAATGCTATTTATGCCTGTAATGGCAAAGTTGAATTTTCAGCAGCCATTACTTCAGTCTTCAGAAATCTTTCTAATATGCGGATTTGGTGCTCATGAAACATATTAATGTTGAAAACAGTTGTGCGGTTTCATGTTTTTGTGGCAACTGATCCAATTTTTTTTGGTTCCGGGATTCTTTTGAGTAGAAAGTGCAAAAGAACAGCATTTATTTGAAAGCAGTCTTTTGTAACGTTTACAAAAGGCAGTCTTTACTGTCACTATTTTGATCAATTTAATGCATCCTTGCTAAGTAAAACTGACCCCATAAACTGTAGCGTGTATGTATATTATAGTGTATAATATATGCATTTGTTTTCGATTTCATCAGATATGAGAGATTATAAAGTGTAATATGAAAAATCAGTCAGGTTTGTCATCGTATTTTTTTTATTGGCCCGAATGAGCAGAAAAAACAGATGACACTATCAGTGCACTATCAAAAAAATAATAATAGCAAATAATAACACTAAACTTAAAAAAAAGAATCTTCCATCAGACGGTCTCACTAAAACTTAATTAATCTGCCTATAGTTTGTAAACCACATTTTATAAAAGTAAAAATATTCGTTGTTAGACTTAAGTCATTGTATATTCAATCTTGTGCAACTATTTTGGCAACCTCTGTCTTATAGGTTTAATAGCACAGGATGCATTTAGATCTCAGTAAGCTTGATCCAACTAGTGTTGAAAGTCTTATTTCATATGCTATTATTGATAATATGCTGTGACACCCATTTGTTATCTTTTGTAACGTTTACAAAAGGCAGTCTTTACTGTCACTATTTTGATCAATTTAATGCATCCTAAGTAAGTAAAACTGACCCCATAAACTGTAGCGTGTATGTATATTATAGTGTATAATATATGCATTTGTTTTCGATTTCATCAGATATGAGAGATTATAAAGTGTAATATGAAAAATCAGTCAGGTTTGTCATCGTATTTTTTTATTGGCCCGAATGAGCAGAAAAAACAGATGACACTATCAGTGCACTATCAAAATAATAATAATAGCAAATAATAACACTAAACTTAAAAAAAAGAATCTTCCATCAGACGGTCTCACTAAAACTTAATTAATCTGCCTATAGTTTGTAAACCACATTTTATAAAAGTAAAAATATTCTTTGTTAGACTTAAGTCATTGTATATTCAATCTTGTGCAACTATTTTGGCAACCTCTGTCTTATAGGTTTAATAGCACAGGATGCATTTAGATCTCAGTAAGCTTGATCCAACTAGTGTTGAAAGTCTTATTTCATATGCTATTATTGATAATATGCTGTGACACCCATTTGTTAATGACCCTATCAAAAAATGACCTCACGAATCACCAAATAGGTAATGGCTTTGTAAATGCCCACTTTAGCAGTTAGCAGTCCCTGAAAAACAAGTTTTCTGGTATTGCATGATTTCTTTGACAAGATTATTGTACAGGTCAGCCCATCTCTAAATGAGGTCTTCTTATTCACAATCTTTCTCGTTGTGACGGCACAACAAACATTGCTTTCTCTCCCTACTTATACAACTACATCCCATAGTCCTGTTTCAGTTGTCCCTTTGCATTTAACCCTGTCTGACATATTCTGATTTTGCCTCCATTTGAGACAGAGCCTTAGTTCCAGATCTTCAGGAAGCTATCCCATGATCCTGTGCAGCAGGCCATTCCATCAGGTGTCACACCAATACAGCTCACTCTGTTGTCATGACCAGACAACACTCCTGTAAAGCACAAACACAGTTTTATTACAATTAATAGACGGATATGTTTGCATCTAAAATGTATTATCTATCATTCTCCTGAAGGTGACATTTATCCTTGTATCTCTTTCCGCTGACATACCGACTTTCTCCGCATTCAGCGAGTCCCAGATGTTGCAGTTGAAGTCGTCATAGCCAGCGAGGATGAGTCTTCCAGAGAAGGAGGGAGCGATGGAGGTCACGCCGCACATGATGCTGGAGTCCTGGTATGTGATGAGCTCCTGGTCTGAACGCAGGTCGTACAGCTTGCAGGAAGCGTCGTCTGAACCTGTGATCACTGCATTGCCATTGGGGAAAAACTGAAAAATGACACAGAGAAAAAAATGTATTTTTTAAAATATACTGCGAAACTCGCTGCCACTTTATGGTAGGGTGTGCTATGTGGATGCTGTGAGTTGTGAGTGGTTGTTAGTGTGCAGTTGCTTGGTGGTTTCGAAGTTGTTCTGAGTGGTTGCTTTCAAACCCGGGTTTATAAAGTATTTCTGGTCCCTAGAGATGGCTTGGGTTCCTTTCTCAATCTATAGGATTTTTGCTCTTTCTCTAATGAAGTAAAACCACACCTCTCAAACTGCACAGTTTAACATCCTTCATGCTTGTAGTACCAACAGTGTGGGATAATCTACATACTGGACAAGTTAAATACATTAAGGCAGTGGTTTTCAACCAGGGGTTCGGGGCCCACTAGGGGACCTTGCAAACATCCAAGGGGGCCTCAAAATGACTTAAAAAGTAAAAGTAAAAAAAAAAGGCGAAAACTACTAAAAATCACCCCCTCAACAACAGTTTTTTTCTTTGAAGAAATAGTCACATAAAATAAGTTAAAAAAAATTACATTAATTTTGTAATAAATTAATAAAAATTTAAAACTAAAACTATTAAAAAATAAATTGTTAAAACTGCTAAAAATAAAATAAAAGTTTTGTAAATTCTGAAATCAAAAATATAAATGTTAGATGAAAAACTTACTAACTACTAACTTACTAACTGAAATAACTAAATTAAAAAGCTAAATAGAAATATTTCATAACTAATAAAAATGACAAAGGCACATAACAATATTAATAAAACTTCAACAAATTTTATAACAAAAAAAAAACAATAAGTTAAAAAAAATTACATTAATTTTGTAATAAATTAATAAAAATTTAAAACTAAAACTATTAAAAAATATTAAATTGTTAAAACTGCTAAAAATAAAATAAAAGTTGTGTAAATTCTGAAATCAAAAATATAAATGTTAGATGAAAAACTTACTAACTGAAATAACTAAATTAAAAAGCTAAATAGAAATATTTCATAACTAATAAAAAGGACAAAGGCACATAACAATATTAATAAAACTTCAACAAATTTTATAACAAAAAAAAAACATAGAAAATATTAATAAATACTGTAATAGTATATAAATAATACTAAACAACACTGCTCCATGGGTTGGATTAAGGGTTCAAATCCTAATGAACGAATAATAATAAAGCCTTAGCTAGCCCCATTCATTAAAAATGTAAGTAATCGATATTTCTGTGGTTATGGATTAATTACTGGCTTGCTGGCTTTCTTACCCCAATAGCGTTGATGTCACTCTCATGGCCTCCAAATGTCTGTCTGCACTGGCCGTTCAACTAAAATTTTGAAAATATGAACACTTTCATGAATAACTAAATAACGAATTAAGATTTACTGTATGTGTATATGTATATATGTATATATATATATATATATAAAATCAAAATTACCTTGGTTTATGATTAAATATGTGGCATAAGCCAGCATCTATAGCAGGTTCAGAAAGAACTGAAACCATCTCAGACCTGCTTTCATGCTCCATGTCATTTAAATACATCTCCCTCTTGCACACAATGGGACCACTGGCAGGTACTGATTTTCTTAATAGCCTTCACCAGAAATTATTTGCATTTAAATGTATGTGACAGCAGCTTCAATTTAAAGCAACAGATTTTGTTATTTGTTACATCTGTAACAATAGATAACGATAGATTGTAATGATAGGCTGAATGATTTTTGGTAGCCAAGGACTAAGATCAGACTTAAGAGAATTTACATTGAAAAACATTTCAGTACCTTGTTAGTGGTGTAGCTGTCCCATACAATCAGTTTACCATCTTGAGATGCACTGACACACAGTCTGAGAGAAAGACAAAAAGAAACATCAGGTTAGAAAATAAGTGTTCTGGTTTATTTTAGTATTATTTCTATATTATTATAGTATTTATTAACATTTTGAATTAGCATTTATTTTCAATTTTCATTTTAGCATTTTTGTTAGGCACTAATTTTATATCAGTTTTAGTTATAGTAATTGTAGTATTTCAACTTGGTACTAAACTTTCATTTTCACTTTTTTAAGTTAAACTGTAACTTTAAATCTAATATTTATATTAGATTTATGATATTTCTAATATGATATTTTATTAGCTTCATTTTAATACATAGAACCACACCTAGTGAATAATATTTCTAACACCACCAAGTTAAGAGGTTTTATTTTACACCTGGACCAAATGCATAAATGTAAAAATAAAGGTATGAAAAGACTAAAGCTGTTAATTCAGTGTTGGTCTCAAGTAAATTTACTATAAAAAAATAAAAAACATGTACAAAAGATCTGATCCCCTTCCAAGCCTTTCAGCCTCCTTTTATTAAACGACCTTACTGATACATCTGATTCATACATAAAGAACATCTTTTACGTGTATCCATCTCCTTGAATATATCTGTTTACATAATCATTCATTTCACTTATCTTTGCCTAAATAAAGTGTAATGAGTGTATTTGGGTGTGCTTGCAGACTAGTTGTTTTTATTTGCATATAGACGCTTACTTTGAGTCTGTCCCCCAGTGCAAGGCATAGATTTTGGCCAGATGTCCTCTCAATGTCTTTCTGATCTTTAGCTGGACATGTCCCACAACAGCTGTCCCCGCCACATGATCCTGCAGCGTAAGGTCCTGCACTGCTTTACGAGCCGCCTGTAGAGCTCAAAACATACACTTAACAGCTGATCTAGAACTGAGAATCAATCTGTGATATTCTGTAAAGTTACATAGATGTTTGTAGAGTTTGACCAAAAACAATAAATCTTAGTTTTATCAGACATATTCTTGACACTAACAGTAATCTCATCCTTCAGGCTCTCCGCCTCCTTTCGCAGTTGCTCCATTTCACCCAGCAACAGTATAGGCACGGTCACCCACAGTTACAGAGAGGAAGTGAGGTCAGTAGAGCCAAGAGAGTGCTGGGGAAAACTCTCCTAAAAATGAATATACATTTCATTGTTACATCAATTTATTTTACTGCTTGTGGGAAGAGCTTGTTGTTGCTTTCACTGTTATATATCTTCAGTTCCCTCATTCAACATCTATTTGCAATTTAAACTCCCTTCGACCTGGTCGAAGTTAGTTCGAGACGCTCAAGCAGACAGAAGAGTGCAGAGCTCAATGTGTGATGGCGTCACAGGTCATTCCGGAGGAGCCAGACACCATTCAGGGCGTTTATGAGAGAGCTGCAGGTGAAAAAGGATGTTTATGTACCAAGTCTATCAAGTGATTGCAGTCACTATTAGTAGTATAAAGTCAGATTATTTCAAGGAATAGTCGAATCCAGTCTTATTTGCAAATAATTCACTTGTTTATAAAAAGAAGAGTTTAAATAGTGTGTTGCACCATTAATGGCATGTTACATGAGATCGGGGAGACTGTTAAAGTTCTGATGGACTCGTACTTCAGAAGTCACTCTGTTCTCTACTTTGCTTACACACACTTGGTGTGCCGCTCTGCCATCCCAGGTACAAATTTCTATAGCTCCTCTAATAGGAACAGTCATTCACACATAAACGCATATTATTAACAGGGATAACACCTTGCTTGGTGCATATATGACTTTATGTGTATGAAGGTCATCAGGAGGGGCGTTCGGATCTTTCTCACCCAGTTCATGTGGATAACTACATCCTGGAGCCAGAAACCAGGCAGTGCTGGAGAGAAGCACCTGCTTTCACTCATCGAGATCTCAGGTGCACAGATGTGTACATGATAGATGTAGGCAAAACACAAAGAAAATTCACTAAGAATAATAGGCTTTCTGATATTTTCCTCAATTTGCATATGTTGTTTTCACTGATTCACTAAATTCGGAAGATTCAAGATTCAGATGATGAAAGACAGGGTGTGGTAAAAATTCAGAATAGGACTTCAAGCTTCTTACACACAAAATTATTAAACATTTCACACTTAATGTTAACGTCTGGCTACAGTTACTGCTGGAAATGTTCAGTATGAAGTGTATACAAACACTGCTTTAACAATCCCTTACTGACAACATTCTGTTGGGAATAATTATGCAACATTGACTGAATGAGGTGCTGATTTTTGTGACTCCGGCATATTCTATAGTGAGCCTCATTTGAATAGAAAGGAGACATGTTTATCTGTAAAATAATAAAAATGTCTGACATAAATTGAATGTTATTTTTTCCACACTCTTCTGTTATCATTTTTGTTTATTTTTTTTTACGTTTAAGTATTTTTTTAAATCTAATATTTAGATTTTATTTTGTTTCAATTATCAAAAATACTTTTTAAAATTTTTTTTCATTTTAGCTAACAATAAAAACACTTATCTGCAGATTGCAGATTCTCTTCTGTTGAACTCACCCAGTGTTGCTCCTGCTCTCTCTCTCTCTGTCCTGGAAGGACTCTTCTTTCACTCCTAACATTCTTCTGTACTTCTCGAGGTTGTTCCTCATCTCCAGGTGACTCGGATTGGCAACAAAGAACGTGTGAGCAGCTGAAGCTGCTTTGGCCATTTTATCCAACTGTATAAAGGAGGAAGACGGATTTTAAACTTACAAAACAGACCAGGGTAGGTTTACTCAGACCCTTGCACGTGTGTTGCCTGATTTCACATTTAAAACACTATGATTGGTCATTTTACCTTGTAGTAGGTGACTTGCAGGTAGTTGTAAGGGTTGAGTGTTCCAAATTCATACTCAATGTCTGAAGATACTGGGAGCAGAGCAGCAGGAGAGACGCTTCGACCTGCAAAAGGATTATTGATGAAGATGTCTGCAGTAATGTGGATGGCCCTTCCCCCTTTCGTCTGGCCAACTGGGTGTATGTCTACCTGCTCCAGACTAAATCAATAGTTTAATCCAATTGCCATTCACTCCCATAGGGATTGATATCACCTCGCATGCATACACAAACATACGCACACACACACACACACACATGTCTGGTCAGCTATCCTTGTGGGGACTCTCCATAGGCGTAATGGTTTTTATATTCTATTGCCCTACACCAACCCTAGCCCTAAACCTACCCCTCACGGGAAACTTTGTGCATTTTTAGATTTTCAAAAAACTTCATTATCTGTGATTTATTAGCTTGTTTACCCGTGGGAATCTCAATTTAGGTCCCCACCGTGACACGAGTCCCCATGAGTCTGTGTGTATTCAGGTTTAAGTCCCTACCAGAATAGAAAAACAGGTACACACACACACACACATTCATTAACATGTGATGTGATAACATGCATTGAACTGAACAAATCGATTTGTATTGTTGCATTAGTTGAACAAAGTACTGTACTGTTTCAAGCACTGTAAATGAATGAGTTTCTCCAGGTCATTGAAACACACACACACTGAGATGGAGATTGAGCACACAGACTTTGTGCATCTGTACAAAAAGTTAGCAGTTACCTAGTTTGGAGATTTTGTCGTCTCCTGCTGTTAAACACTCGTCGTGACATTTTCGTATGGTCTGCAGGAGCTTGTCTCGCGTGGAAATGGATTTCTCCAGGAACTCCGCTGCGCGCTCCCAATCTTCCATAAAATACGCCCTGACCCCGCGGTAATAGAGCTCATCGTAAGGGGCTAAAAGTCCGGATGAACTCTCTGAAGATAGTCCGCTGCCTGCGGTTATAAAGACATAGCTGAGAATAAAGAGGAACGCCACGTATACAGGACTTGTGTTTGAGTGTAGCGCCATAATGCAGGGACTGTAGTTGTGATGTGCGGAGAGAGGGATAGACGAATGAGGGAATAACGTTACGTGACTGGCAGCAAGAAATATAGCTACAGCACGAGAGAGGAAAACTAATGTGTCTGTTTGAGAACAAATTTGATTAAAAAAAAAAAAATCAATATGGGTGCATGATTATTTTTTTATTTATTACATATTTATTTACTTACTATATAATTACTTAGTTACTAAACAAGATTTAAGTGGCACGGTGAGTTAATCTATAATTACCTAAAACTATTAAAGTCATTGGAAGTATTCATTTAAATAACTAGTTTAAAAAAGTCACTTGTGAACATCTACATTATTTTTTTTATTAGTAAATGCTTATTTATGTTTAACTTGTTTGATTTCATTTAAAATTCAGCTTAAAGGGGGCATAACATACACAGTTTCACCCAATCTCATATTAATCTTGAGCAGTGGCGTGTCCACAAGGGTGGCACGAGGTGGCAACTGCCACCCTTAAAATGAGCTTTGCCACCCCAAAGCAGCGCATGGGATCGAAGTGCATTGAGAGCGGAGCAGCGTGATTTTAACTGAAGAGGGGATCTTTTGAAAGTCGGAGAATTCTGGTTTTCGCTCGCTCTCAGAGTGCTCCACTACCGCTCAAAAAATGTAATAAGTAGTGTAACTATTTCAATTGCTTTATTAAAGTAATGTAACTGATTACATTGGATTACTTTTTGATTACTTTTCTAAATTTAAAATATTTTCTACTGTTAATCATTTTGAAACATTTAAAGCAGGCAGGGATAACCTTACAGTAGAACTCAACACTGATTACTGGCAGACTTTCAAAAGCCTGCATCACTTGAATTAAGATTATAATCATTTAATTTTAAAGCACAGCCACTACAAAATCAGACTTAAGCACCGTTTTTACTTCGAGATCAGTCTGCTTCTGGTTAAATTCTGATCGTTCTGGTTAAATACAGGTTTAAAATCATAACAAGAAATAGTTTGATAGCTATGATACTGTTTTTAACATCAAATCTTTTCACAGCTGACAAGAAACACTGGCATCTAACAATGCCTTGGGGGAAAAAATCAGTTAATCTTAAAGCATATGCATAAACCCAAATAGGAAATTAAACAGTTATCGAATAAGCATGCATCTTATTCTGTGTTCTAAACTCCTGAAACATTGGTGCTTCGTATTTTAGAGCAGTCACTGCAATTAAGAAATAAATTAATCAAATATGTATGTGCGTGTTTGTGTGAAAACCCCCTTTGTAATAGTTAACATTTTCATAAGTAACTGTAGGCTAATTTAATTACACTTTTTTTTCACAGTAACTGTAACAGATTGCACTTACATTTATTTTGTAATTAAATTACGTAATTCCGTTACATGTAATTAGTTACTCCCCAACACTGGTGTTGAATATACAGAATATATGGGGAGTACAAACACTGATCTATAGTTGCCACCCCTCATTCTGCTCTTGCCCCCTCTTTGCCACCCCAAGTATAAAATCCTGGACACGCCCCTGATCTTGAGTACCTATAGAGTAGTACTGCATCCTTCATATCTCCAAAAAGTCTTTAGTTTTACCATATTTATAAAAGAAAGATACAGCTTTAAGATTCTCTCCGGAAAAAGCTGAGCTCCTGGAGGCGCGCCTCTTTAGGAGCTAAAGAGTGACGAGCACTTGAGCGCTGATTGCCAACAAAACAGACATTTGATGCCGTTTCACTTACCGTCTGCAGTTCTGAATCATGACCGGGATCTTTTATAGCTGGGACCGCTCCATCTTTCAGTATCAAACAATGTGCAAATCCAGAGTCGAACTGGACCTTGTTTATAAAACGTTCGTCAACAAACACAAAAACTGACACTCCGTTGCTGCCCATATAAGGAGTTCCACCCTCGTCTACGTCATGAAGAGCCACGATCGACAAAAACTCTCCGAAACTTGTACGAATCCGGAAGTAACATTTTTGGCACAGAAATACTATGTCATACTTCCAAATTGTTTTATTGAAACTTTGTCCATGCTTAGCATGAGAATCCAACTCTTTAACAGTGTAAACAACTCTGAATGCATGAAACAGCATTGAACCCCCCTTTAAGGATTCTTTTAGAGCTAAGGTAACTATAACCATTTAAAAAAATCGTTCTAATTCTAAGAATACACAACGATATTGTTGGAATTACTTTCAGAACGATTTGTTTCCAGCTGATAATCGATACAATCACTGACAGCAAGTCAGAATCCCCCAGACTTTAAAGAGCTTGAGGATTTACAGCAGCAAACGAGAAAACTGCAGCACGCGCTTTTAATTAATAAACAAAACGTGGGACATTCTACCAGAAATGTACATTATCTGTCCTTGACTTGTTACAGTGAATAAAAAGTATTACTTTCAAAAAATGTCTAAAACTGACTGATGGTTAATTTCTGTGAGTTGTTCTGTAAAGGAATATGTCATTCATTAGGTTCTCAGATATTTTTTAATTTATTAAAAACACTTTTGAAAATTACAAATCCTGTCCTTGTCCTCAGCCAAATTGGACCTACAGCTTTCATAGTTTTGTTATGCTAAAAACTGTTATTTAGAAAAAAACTCCATCAATAACAAGTTTAAGTTGTTATCATTCACATCAACTGATTAAAAACATGAAATTATACATAAATTCTACAAATAAATACTATTTTACAACTGTCCCCATGTTTTCGGTCAGTCCTGTCACGTTTACATAAAACTCAACATAAAATGTGTGTAATGCGCCTTTAAAGGTATGACTCAAAGGAAGTGACATAATTTGACTGAGGTGAAGCTGACACTGATCAAGGGTGAGTTCTGTCATTGAATTGTATGATTTTAAGCTTGTTTTTGTATGTTTTTTTTTTTAGGAGGACGAGCTAAAGGGTCATGCCCCGTCATGGTAAAACATTCCAGAAAATAATGAAAATCTTTTAAATCCAAAACATGTCTAAAAAAGTTACTGAAATTCCTTGATTGCATGTTAACAGTTTTTATGCTAGCATGAGTTATGGCAGTTTAAAATGGCCGACCGTCAGGCCCTGTCACATCCCTGTGTGACAGGGCCTCACGGTCCTGTGACACGGCCTTACAAATGAATGGCATTGTTGTTTTTTTATTACCTTTATTGCATATAATATGTATTCAACGCATGCCATAGTAAAACATTATTTGATTAAATAGACATTAAACTGTAAATCTGAAGCTTTTTATGCTCATCGACAATTTTTTAAAATTGTATCCCTCTTTTACCTAGGCATATGCAGCACTGCACTTTGTATATTAATTATATTTCAATACATATGAAAAGTTTATTTGCAAAAACAGATAACTCCATTTTTAACAAAATGTTATAAAAATGTAATATTTGAGGAAATATTGATGAATTAATCTCTGTAACTGTGTAGATGAAGGTTGGGGTATATATCCACTACTATGTTTTTGAAAAAATCTCCTATGTACAGGCAGTTTTTTTTACAACTATGTGAGTGCCTGGCGGGGTATTTTGTGATTTTGTGTACTACAGGTGACCGAAAAGTTGTTTATATTTCTTATAGAAATTACAAAACCATGTTAGATACAATCAGGGACATGTGACCAATAAGAAAATGCTATTTGTATCAAAGAAATTCATTAGGAAACCATTCTAACATATACAAATTTGTCTGTGACAGGGCCTGCCATTTTATTGGTGAAATGCGTATAAAAACTTATTTATTTCAATCATAAAAACATGCTGAGATGGCATGATATGTATCATGTTTTTTCATTGTGCATTCCAATTAATCTCAATCAAACTTTAGTTGGGTTATTTTGATTAGGTTAAAAAATAACTAATAATTACAGCTAACTGACACAATAAAACACAAAAAAACATGATTACATAAAAAGATTTTTGAAAATTTCTAAAAACGGAGTTATCTGTTTTTGCAAATAAACTCTTCATATATAGATGTAATTGTCATCATCTATATAAGCTTTGAGTAATGATGACTGTAATTATTTCAATTCATACAGATACCATGGTAATATCTGCAATATTACCTAGGAAATGACATGCAATTTCCGTTATTACCATGTAATTTCCTAAGTAATAATGCAGATATTACCATAGTATTGCCCCGTTATTACTGAGCCGTAATATTATGTGGTACCACAGTTACTTTACTTTGTGCTATTCAGTTAAATGTCTATACATTTGCTGTATCATAGTAAAATATACTTTATATATTATGAAGTTATATTTATATTTATTACACCCGCAGGGTTTTATTTATTACACAACACAGGGTTGTTGTTTTCACACCTGTCTGAGTTTGTGCCATTCTAGTTGGTAAAAACATGCTGAGATGGCATGATATGTGTTTCATATAGATTAACATTTCCTCCATATGACTCAACGTTCAGATTTAAGAATAAGATATTATTTTCACCCAAGATTTTTACAAATGGAAATGTACGTTTCTGGTAGAATGTCCCCCGTTCTTTGTGTGAACGGGTATTTAGGGTTTATATTAGCTTGTTGTAATCGTAATTAGTTTATATAAACACAACATAATGTGATATGTCCTCATTTAGTTAGAAGTAACATTGCTAGGAATACTTATTTTACATTCATTGTTTTGTTTATATTGTAAGATTTAGGCTAAATCCATTAGGATAAAATCCAAATACATGATAACCAGTAACTGTCTACACTGAACCCAAAGCAACACCATCCATATATCATCACATACTTTTTAGTTGCAATCTGGCGCATAACTTTTTGCGCGCATTAAACTCCCAGCCCCAGGAGGCCAGTATTATTATTTACATGAGGTAAAAATTTCCGCTTTCTCATTTCGACAACTGTCATGGCTTCCATTTTACCGTGGTACACAAAATACATGAGAATTCACAATAAAGGTTTATTTCTCCTCAGTGGTGAACTGCTAAAAATATATTTGTTATGCCAAGATTGCTATACTGCATTAAACGATCATTTAACTATTGCATTAAAGACGTTACGCTAATGTGCATATTAGTATTTTTATGTTAAACTCTATGCGCGCGTTTTTGGCGCTTTACGGTCAAACACTTGCGGCTGTAATGCGTGCAGCGAGAGTGTGTGCAGCGCCCCTGGCCTCGAATGAAACACACTGGATCATCAGTAGCAGCTTTTCATTGAAGGGAAACAGAGAGAGAAGTGGGCGGTCAGAGATTTCAAGCGCACTGTATTTCAGGAGCGGGGGCCAAAAAACCGAGGCGGGCAAGCGTGTGAAGGCAAATCGTGTTTAGCCAGATATGACGGAGGTTAGCGAGATATTGATGTCGATTCTGTCTACGATTCGGGTTCCGAGGCCCGGAGATCGTGTTCACAAAGACGAGTGCGCCTTCTCATTCGCCAGTCCGGTGAGTTCAGTAACGTAACGTTAGTAGCACGCGACTGCACTTTCGGGATTTATTTTATTTATTTATTTGCATAAGGCTGCCGTTTTGCTTTCGTCTTCCCATGAGCTGTGATGTTTGCTAACTAGCGCTCATTGAGTGCACAAGTTTGCACTATTTTCCTTCATTATGTCAAGCGAGTCATCATCGCAATGTTGACTCTGCACTCTTTGGTCACATCTTGACTAAACAACTAATTTCCCTTGGTTTAGCCTTAAATTATCAGCGTGTATATGCTACTTTAGCTAGCCGTGAGTTAGTTATAACGCTAACATGAGCTAGTAAGTTAACTGCAAAGTTTTTTTTTTCTTGAGAAGTCTGTGTGCTTCTGTATCATGCGCGTGAGACAGCCACAGCCTCACTGAACGCATGGTGCTCACCAACAGTATTTGGTTCAAACACTTCTTTCCTTTTGTTTCAGGAGAGTGACGGAGGCTTGTATGTCTGCATGAACAGCTTTCTCGGCTTTGGAGGCAAGTACGTAGAAAGACACCACACCAAAACTGGTCAGAGAGCTTACCTGCACATCACCCGGACCCGGAAAACACAGGTAAGCACATGACACACCATTCTGTGCATTTATAAATAATAATCATGTATGGTTTAAGTAAACGTTCATAAATATTTAAAGTCTCCAAATGGAAAAAAATGATGGGCATCAAACAGGTTTCCTGGACACTCCTCCTGTCTTTCATTGGCCAGACAAACAGATAGTCCCGCCACCAAACTCACGCCATTTGTTCAGCCAGTTTTGCTGTTTCAGGTTGGCTGGGACAGATGGCTATGTTTAAGTTCAACAGTTGGGTTCTGGATGTAAAAATCCCATTTATTTTCTCCATATGGGAATTGGTTTTTAACGATAATTTATAAACCATTAAAGCCTGACCAACTGTGAGCAACGAGGTTGTTAATCAATGATATATGCTTTTGTTGAAGCCATCTGGCCAGATTATTCAACTGATATTTTAAAATAAGCATGTTTAAAAGTGGAATTCCCGGTTAAAAACTACATTACCCTTGATTCTCCAAAGAAATTTCCACTAAAATGAGAATCGCCACCAGTAAAACATGGCAAAAGAGTGCACACCTTCTCTCTGGTGTCGGATGCAGGATTTCTCCAATCATTTTGTCCACTTAAATCCCGCCCCTGCAAGCTTGCATTCATCCGGCTCCACTTTTGAGTGCCCCGCCCACATCTCAAAATCCAATACGCAACTGATGGATAGAACAAAGATGTTCCGCTACACTCGGAAGAAAAGATCAGTTGCTACTTCCGTTTCTGTGACTAAGTACAGTCTTGAACTTTTGTCTTTTGGTCCAAGTTTTGAATACTTCAAAGTTTGTAATGTTGTGATTGTGAATGTAAACTCTTTTATGAAATCCTTTTTTAAAATCTCTATGGAAAAAAATGAATGGGAAAAACAAGGAACAAAAGACAGCTGAAAACGTGAGTGGGCACTATATTGTTTTTTTTAGACTTTTTCTGGAAATCAGTATACACATGGCTTATGTCTCTGCAAACTAATATGGTATAGAAGAAAATATTTTAACATATTACATCTTCTTGTAATATAACTGCATTTTAAAGGGTTCGTTCACCCAAAATTGAAAATTTTTTCATTAATTACTCACCCTCATGTCGTTTCAAACCCATAAGACCTTCGTTCATCTTCGGAACACAAATTAAGATATTTTTGATGAAATATGAGAGCTGTCTGACCCTCCCATAGACAGCAATGCAACTGAAATTGTCCAGAAAGTCCAGAAACGTAGCAAGGAGATCAGTAAAATAATCCATGTTACATCAGTGGTTCATCCGCAATTATACGAAGCTACGAGAATACTTTTTGTGCGCAAAAGAAAAAAAAAACGACTTTATT